GTATTCAACTTGCAAATAATTTACAAGACTATGAATTGCAGATTTATGTTTACCAAAACGAAATTAATGAGTTTTAAAATTAACTGCCTTGTCAAGTTGAGGTAGTAGTTTGATATCATATATCTATCAGTGTTACAATATAGTAAAATGATCATTCATCTTATAAGGTATTTGTCCCACTTCTTAGCATGCCTTCGTGGTGTAGTGGTCAGCATGCTCGGCACGTATTCAAGAGGTCCGTGGTTCGAGTCCCGGCGAGAGCATTGCTGATTTTTCATCTCTCGTGCTTTGGTCTAACCTAATGTCTCTACAATCTGCATTCAGTTTTTTTAATGTAGTGCACTAATTCATATAATGTAGTACCATGATTGAATATAAGTAATGAATTCTGAGTTCAATACATGTAGATTTCAAGTTTTCTTCAGTGTATTATTTAGGCATTAAAATGAGTCATTTGACATATCAAGACCATTACACTGATAGTATTTTTCTGCAAAGGAATACAAAATATTTTTGTAAATATTTGTGAAGTAAAACACTTTGATTTTGAGGATTCAAATTTTTATTTCAATTAAATATAATTAAATTAGCTTAAAAATCATTAGTAATAAAAGCTAAAAAATTTTATATATGTATTTATTTATTTGTCACATTGTAAAATATTATAATTTATTTTGTGTAAAATTTATAATTCTTCATTAATTGATTTTACTGATACGTAAACTAAAATAATTTATTCATAAAATATTTTAAAATCGTATAATTCAATATAATGTATTATATAAAGAGGTTGTAAAATTAATAACAGAATACTTATTATCATTGGGTAATATCTTTTTATTATACAAAGAATTCTCAAATACAAAGGGGGGAAAAATTTAATGCATTTATGTAAATTTGGTTTTTTGGCATTCAGATAGAAGCACAAGTGGATTTGGATATTCACCTCTTTCTTTAAATGTCAAAAATAACTTTTAATGAAAATTCAAATAAAAAAAGATATATTGTAATGCAGCAAATACACTATTACCTGTTTAGGTTTTTTCATGTATCACCTATTCAAAATAGCCTATATTTACATGAAATACATATATTGTTGCATATTATGAATCTTGCGGGAAAATTATACGATTTTACCTCCCCTTTTGTTTGAATACATTACATAAGGAAAAAATATCTATTAAGAATTGCTAGTGCACAGTCAGATTCAAATTTGCTTTGCGATGATCCAAACATAAAATAATTTATTTTCATGAAATTTTAATAGAAAAAAAAAATCATCAAAACCAGGAGAAAAATAATTTTTAAATTTTTGTTGGTGGGGTTGTAAGCAATGAAAATAATAATAGAAAAATTTATTTTCTTATTCTAAACACCTTTTTCTTTTTAAGTTTTATTTCTCTGGTATTATTGTTGTACTGCATTGATCTAGTAAACTAAATTTTTGAAATTATTCCTGAATGAAAAAATTGCTCAAATTAGCTCTAACATTCCACGTTTCTTAAAAAAATTTTTTTTTTTAAAGCTTGGTAGATCTAGTGGAAACCACTCTGTTATAAAATGACTGCATTTTTATTTAAAGTTTGATCAATGTAAATGGAGAATGCATGAAATGAATGAATGAATTTTTACCAAACTGCGCCATGGGTTTATACTTTTTAAGTTATTTGTTAAGTAAGGATAAGTGAAGGTACTTTTTACTAGAACAGCCTTAGCAGTCCTTGTTTCATGTAATTTGTTTATATGCTTGTTTTTCATCATTCATTGTTCCATAGTTTCGATATGTATAATTGTTGATCACTTTTTGAAAAGTCCCACCTTATGTTGTGTATGTCTTTGTTATGATATTTAATTCTATTTATTCTGGAACAAAGTGTTATTTAACGTCCTTCATTCATTAAAAAAATCATCTGTAATTAAAAATAAAGGCCAGTTTTAGTGTTGTTTTGTCTCTTGTCAATATATTACTTCATTAAATTGTAAAGCAAAGATTTATTTCAATAAATTCTATTAACCACTATGCATACCAACAGGACTGGTTTGAGGAATAGTGGGTAGCCCTTCATGGACTACCCTTTAAAATTTTATTTAGAGGTTCCTTCTTAAGATTATTTTTTATACGTCTAAATATAATATTATATAATTTTTCAACACCAATTATATCATTCTGGAGGGGGGGGGAAGAAATTACTTGCAATTGTCTGACTTTTTTTAATATTAATGGTTTTATAAATGTTTAGCAGCATGTCTTTTTGTTTTTCTTAAACAAGTAAATTAAATATGTATTAAAAAGTCTTATGAAATATTTTCTGCGTTAATTAAGGTATATAATAATTTCAGTGAAACAAACCTCAGATATGTAGCATATTTTCTTTTAATTCTGAATTATAAGATATTTATTAATATCGGTGCAAAAAATATAGAATACACACACACACACAAAAAGGGCTGACCCCAATTTATTATATTTTTGTATGCATTTTTAATTTTGCTTCTTTCTTGAATTCACAATTTAAAGTATACAATCTGTGTTTTTAATCACTTTTGATAATTAACATAAGCTTATCTTGTTTCTTCATAATTTTGTTATATGAACGTAATATTACATAATTTTGTCCTATTTCCTCTTTAGATGTTTCCTCCCACCCCAAGATACACACTTAAATTTCTTTATTTCTTGTCTTATTTATTTATTTATTTATTTTTTGTCAGTAAATACCTTACTGAATTCTCAATGTACAAACTGCTTTTTTGCAGCTGTTTTAGAGATATGCTTTGCTATTCTTTCCTCACTGAAGATCATAAGTATCTGCTGGCCTCAGGCACCAATGCATTGATTGACATTGGCCAGGATCATACTTTTGGCTCTTGAGTGGTTGTGTGTGTGTGAGGGAGGGGCCAGCATTACCCATTTTGCAGCCTTGGTGCAGTCTATGCATCCTAAATTCTGCTGCCTCCCTAGATTCTAAAAACTTTTCACTGCCCACTGCCTCTCCTAAATTCTAAAAATTCCATCAATCTTGAATTTTTGTTCTCTAAATTCTGATACTATGTGGCAGCATGCATTTTGGCACTGAGCTTGTTGAGAGTTAGCAATTTTGTATCTGACATAGCAATAACTGAAATCCCAATGTTGCTAAATCTAAACTAATAATCTGCAATCTAGAAATTTCCAAAATCGGCAAAGTCCTGATTATTTCGGATTTTGTGCTATATATATCAAGGGGGGGGGTAAACTTCATGTTCAAACATCTGGTAGCTAACTGCTAAAATGGACAACATTTGTGAAGCATCCACAAGCAAATATAACTTTTAAAGATTTTCTTTACAGAATTGTTTGATGGATATACTACAATCTTTTTATAAGTTTTTGGGATTAACTTTATTAAGTTTTTTAATAACAAGAAATGGAATAAAATAATTGCATTTGGGTATTGATCAGTTTTAAGTTTAAAAATTTTGTAAAAAGAAATGTAATTTTTTTTACAGTTTTAGATTATTATATTTTATCTGCATAAGAGCTGCACACAGCTAATGAGGAGTCCTGTGACCATCCCTGGTGTATAATCATCGACAAAAAAAAGTTTGATGTTCAAGAGTAGAAAATTAAGAGACTTGAAAATGGCTAAGAAAAGAAAACAGTGTAAAAATTGATTAAAAAATATGCTGCGTGCATAGGAGTTCATAAATACTGAAGAGAAATTTATTGATTAATGTTAGAAATATATATTTGTTATAAATATTAGAAATTCTAAAATACATTGATAAACAGATAACTCTGTTGAAGTTCTGATGAAGACTCTGCTGATAGAAAATTAATTATTTTGGATGATGAAAAGTATTTTTGCAATTTCCATAAATAGCAGAAATGTTGGATTTTATAGCAAGGTCATTCAGAAAATTGAGTACTTATGTGTTATCCTATCGATCTTGAAATTATCATCAAACAGCATGATATTTGCTAGTTATGGGTAAGTGTAATGTCACAATGCACTCATAATATCTGTGCTTTTGTTACCCCAGTAAGCCACATTTTGTTTTTATAAACAAGGACATAAATTAGCTGTTATTGCTGTATTTTTCTTGCATTTCAAAGAAGTGAATAAAATTTAGGAGCTGCTTTCTGTAGAATAGCAACCACTGATTATTTTCAAAGTTATGGGATTCTGTCATAAAAAAGTGTATTAAAGAACACAATATTGTCAACAGAACAGTAATAGATAGGAACAATTATATGAGTGAAGTTTCTACTCGAACCATTCTAAAGAGAGTTTCTGGTAAAATCAGAAAGCCTAACAAAATAGTGGAAATCAATGATAAACATTTTCTGAAGTTAAAAAATGAAGCATGTTAAATACTGATTTGTTTCATTAAAAAGGAAGAGTAAGTTATTTGAGAATTTTACAGGAATGATCTCTGTCAACTTTCACAGTCGACAGAATAATACGCAAGCAATGAAAATTTTAAACAGTATGAAATTTACCACAAATGAGATTTTAAATGAAACTATTCATATGATATACTTTGTCTGAAGCTCGTATTATTCAGCTTCTTATTGGCAAAGAAGCAGAAAATAATGGATCTCATAATCAATAATGTTTCCCTAAATTGGTCTAATTTATTGAAAGGGCCCACCAGCGGCCGAGCGGTAAAATCGCTGAACACTGCTAGTTCGGTCCGAGGTTCAAATCCCACAAACAGGCTAACTGCATGGGCATTTTAGTGGTTTTCCCCATGTGTAACGTGTATATAAAATAGTTTCCCTTAGAAAGTCCTCTACGAAGGACCCTCTCCTTAGATAGATAGCCCTCGAGGCTTTGCCGTAATAACCTAAATCTATTTTATTAAAGGAAAGCATAAGGATCAAGATGTAATAAAAAATTTTTTTTGCAAATTATTTTAAAAAATGTAAATCAATTTTGAGTTATTCAAATATAGGATTATGCATTGCCTCATTTATTTTACAATAAGTAATTTAATTCTAATAAAAATATTCAACAAAATTTTTAAAGAATTTATTACAGATAACGTAATACAGATAAAAAAATAGAAATCTGGGTTACAAACTTAAAATACAGTATTTCATGAGTATTTCCCCCTTTTTTTCTACAAATTTCATATGAAAATCAAGTAGGGAAAATTACCCAAATAATTTAATTTCTGAAGGATGTATTTGCAGTCAGAACATAATGAATTTAAAAGTATTGATGGATAAACTATCAAAATATTATTTATGTAGATCAGATCAACATTCTGATGAGAATACATAGTAATGTTAACATTACAATAGCTAATAAGATATTTTGCTTTCTACTTCACTGTACTTTAATTCTCACTCTTATTTTCCATGGCTATTCCTCAGGCCTTCTATCATTCAGTGCTGCTGGAATTTTTGTTTGTGTCATCTGCTACAGCTTGCAAGTCATCACCATTCAATGTACCTGCTAGCACACTAGTGGCCTAATGGTAAAGTTGCTAAACACTGGCTACCTGCATGGTCATTTTTGTGTTGTTCCCCATGTGAGCCAGTTTCCCTTAGAAAGTCCTCCTTGATGGCATCCCTATCCTTAGGCAGATAGCCCTCGAGGCTTTGCTGTATTCTATGCGCCAATCCAAACCACTGTACTTGCTCTCATGCAGTGATTTCCAGAACCATTAAGAGCATTAGATAGTCTATTTTCTTGAAGCTCTTCATTATAATTGTCATCACTTCATCAGTCACTGCCTCATAAAAAATCTACAAGCAAATAAAAAATGATCACTACATGGGAGAATCCATTTCTAAATGCCTTCAAAAAGGGAAAAATTCTGCAAATAATTAAAAAATTTTCAAAACCTTGCGTTAAAAAGCTAGGCAGAAAAATATGTGATTACATGCATTAGCCATGTAATGTTACAGAACTACATATATGCATGCATCATATAGTGTGTAATGCATACTTATGTGGCTATATAAAAGTATTTTGCTAAAGTTAACTATCAAATATAGGCCAAATTTAGCAATTTCATTATTTGATAATGATTTTATTTTGCTAACCTTACTTTCGTTGTTCCAGTGTAATATGCCAATTTTGTGGAATTCCGTGATATTTTTTTTAGCAAAAAGGATCACTGTGTATGTGAAAAGAACGAGAGTGAAAAAAAATTACAGGATTTCTTGATAAACGTAAGTGAGTAGTGCCAAGGTTGTACATGATACCAAATATATATAATTCTCTGTTTTTTTTTTTTTTTTTATTTTTTTAGCACAAGCATACTGATGCGTATATGTTATGGTGAAACACCTAAATCTGGAGAATGTCGACTTTCACCGGTGAATGTCAACATTCACATAGTCACTTGGTGTATGTCCGAAATATTTTCCAAATACTCTTATTTCTGACTTACACCGGTAAATGTCGACATTCACCATGTACTAATGGTGAATGTTAAACATAAAAGAATATTATATTTCCTTCTCCGTAATTCATTCGCAAAAAAACGTACTTGAGACTCAGAATAAGAACTTAAGAACATAAGAACTTAAAACACACAGTACATTCAAAATGAGAAAGGAAAATAATAGAAGTTATAAACTTTATCAAATTATGTGATTCAAATCTTATTTATTGCAACAACTTAAACTATTATGACACTTTGAATTGCACAAGAGGCCCTTGCTTTTACAACTGCATTTATTTGTGGAACACTTCCTTTTGGAATGGCAGCGTGTACATATACTCCTCTCTTTTTGACCTACACCAGAGTATATCTGTGATTGTCGACATACACCGGTGAGGGTCCAAATGTACAAGAATGTAAAGAAATATTCGATCTTTCACTGACGTATTTGGTGAATGTTGACATTCTGTCTCCAATTTTGGTCTTTCACGGTAACATATATAAAAAAGAAGATGGTGCGAAAAAAATTTGCAGGATGATTTCTTGAAAAATATAAGTGCTTATTTTTTTTAATGTATCATATAATCCTTATTTAGTAATTACAATTTTTATTTTAAGCTGCAAAAGTGTGTTTCTTATTGGTGTGTTAATAATGTTTGCTGGACAAATATCGATAGTTTTGTGATTTTTTAAAAAAAGTCATACATGATAAGTAACTTTTAGCAATTATTTATTATACAAAGAATATGTCAAAGAATATTACTATTTTATTAATATTGCACTCTTTCCTTCCAAAAAAGTCCTAATCTCATAATCATGAAATGGTTTATATGCATGGACATACCTTTAATCCAAACATAGCAGCACTTTTCATCTGTCACTCAAGCCACTTTTGTATGCTTCCTCTTGTTTCCTATTCAGGCAATAGTACAACATTATATACATTACTAAGCCTTTTTGTTTTATGCAACATACAATCACAGTTGTCCAATAACTTCTTTTTTAAACGAAGAATTTTAAAGAATTCCAATGGAAAACAAAAAATTCACATTTTTTAAAAATATTTTACTGCTTCAATTTCATTTATTGATCTAAACCTGCGATATTTTACTAATTAATTTAAATTTTAATTAAATATATGAATGAACAGGGTAAAAAGCTTTCTACAAATTATATGGACTATTGTTGTAGTGATAAATCATGAAATTTGAGAATGTTAAATATTATGAATCGAAAGTATTTGCCTTCTTTGTAGTTAAATGAAAAAAACATTCCGACTAAAAAGATATTACATATTTTTATTCCTATATTATTTTTAATAATAAATAAAAATTATAATTTTTTCTTAAAAAAATTATGTACATTATTTAAATTATATATATATATTTTTTAAAATGGTGAAATCTAAGGGTTACAAAGAAGATTCCATATCTTGTGTATAGCACACATAAGCAAACATTTAAAATATTACATTAGATATTGCCATAGTTTTTATGCCATGATTCTACATAGTTATATAAAAAAACATAAGAGGTAAATAAAATTGCTACCAAAAAGACACCATTATAGTTCAGAATAAAGGCTACAGAAATAGAAGATTGCTACAAATAATTATACTAACTTTTAGTCCATTTTAAATAAAAACGAAAACACTATAACTTGCACAATTCATAAATCTTTAATTCATAAAGATTGAAACAACACTAAACTGATTAATATTTAATTGCAACAATAAGCTCTGAAAATGAGAAGTTCAGATATTGGATTTAAATAAATTTCCGCTTGAGAAGAAATAAATAAAGCTGTTCCAGGATGTAATAATTGTTCTTCACTTTTATGCTTATAAGTAGCTTCACCAGATACTACCAACAATATAGAAGCAGATGCAAGAACTTTTAACGCATAAGCTTTATAATCTGATGACAATGATATTTTATCAATGGTAAATTCTTCTACCGGAGGGTTATATGTTTTCACTAGTGGATCATTAGAATTAACAGTTGACTGAAATATGTTTTCATTTCCTGGCTTACAGTTGTAAGTTAATATGTCACATAATGTATAAACATCTCTAAATTTAGGAGTTAAACCAGCTCTTACAACATTGTCAGAACATGCCATGCATTCAATACAGTCACCATAGAGATAAGCATGTGGTTCATTTGCAGCAAGAAATACAGCTTCGCCACATTTTAATTTTAAATAATTAAGAAAAAATATGCAAAATAAACCAATGTCACCCGGATATTCATCAGAAACTCTCAGAAATAAATTAGAAACTGATTTGCATAGGTCACCATGATATTTATCCAATTTAAAATTCTGTACAACTTCAGACAATAAAGGTTGATATATCTCTGCTGGACAAGTCATTAGAGCACGAAATAGACTCTTAAACGTATCACGATTTTCAGTTTTTAAAAATTCACTAATTATTTCTTTTCCTACAACTTTCTGTATTTCAGGAATTTCTTTCAAGAATATCATAATTTCACTGATAGGCCGAAAACCACACAGAGCCTCAAAATCTGTCAAAGCAATAGCCATTTCAGGTTTATGATTATCATCAGGATAACAATCAGGATTTTGTTTAAAAAGTTTTACAGCAGTTTGCTTATCTGGATGTGCTTGAATAGACAGCGATTTATTCACAGAAAGAACTTTAAAAAGGAAGGGCAGACCCTTCGTTTTATCGAACAAGTTTGTGATATTCTGTCCAAGGCATTCTGGATGATCTGATATCCAATCCATAAGTGTCATTCCTCCCAGAGATGGAATAACAGAAGGGCCGGAAGGATGAGTGCCTAACCACAGTTCTGCATAAGGAGCTACATCATTCACTTTGAAATCACTGAATGCAGATTTATACAATTTACAAGCAAAACTGTTAAGACCAATTTTTCCCCAATCGTAGTTCTTCAGAACACCCTGAATCTTAAATACTGCAGACATACTAACGCTAAAGTTCAGTGCAATGAAATATCAGATACAATTGGATATAAAGACAGATGAAGGATATTACTGTAAATGAAGTAGTTGACTTTGAGCACCTAAGGGTTAAAAGATCGAAAATTGTCACGAATTACTTTCTTCCTGGTATTAAAAAAAAAAAAAAAAAAAAAAAAAAAAAAAAAAAATCCTCTGTTTACGTCGAATGTCAAACACATCAAGTCTTTTTACCCGCTACACAAAATATTAAGACGTAAAGCGAAAGAAAAGAATGTATAGGCAAAAGCAATTATTGTGAACATGTTGGAGACTGATCAGTGTTTTTGTAAAAGAAATAGGATTCACACACGAGAGTGAAATATAATCAAAAGAAATAGATTAAAAACTTGCTTTTTTTGTTCCCGTTAATTTTTTATTTATATGGTTTATTTTCAATAATTGATTTATTATCAATTTGCTTGGCATTCATTGAAAATATGAATAAATTATGCATTATATCCTTGCTATATATTTTTATAGTAGGGTATAATATTATATTTTTTGAACTATCATACAAAATGGCGCTTAAAAGTAGCTCTTATTTCCGCATTTTTGATCGAGAATGTGTTAACTGATGTGGCAACTATCATTTGGCGGCTCATTCTCTAACTTCTGTGTTTAGTGTGTTGTAAATTTCAAAGGTAGTACTTACTGTGGTGGAAGTATTTTAATTTTTTTGTGGTATTGATTAGCTTATCGCTCTTATTAAAAAAGTAAGTAGTTAATAATATTTTTAACATCTTACTTTTTGTCTGTATATGATGAAATATGACTATGTTGTGATTTTTGTTGAAGTAAGCAAAGCTTTTGCTGAGTAGGCTTAAAGAACATGCTTTTATAATTCGAGAGCTTTTGTATCGCAGTTTTAAAAGCTGATTGTATTAAAATTTCCTGTGAAGTATCAAAAGTAATTTTTGTTGAGTATCTTTTTTGAAACTCTTTCAATTTAGAACTGTTTGAACTGAGAAGAATTGATATTTCATTCAAGTATGTTGTAATTTTATATTCTTATAGTACTGCTTAAGGGCAGGTGGTATTTTAAAAATTCAGTGTCATTATACTAAAATTTAAAAAGATTCGAGAGTGTCTTGTTTAAGAAGATTAAATAAATATCAGGTTGGGAATATTTTTCATAATATATATGCTAATTAAGCTGTAGAACAATAGAACTTAAATTTCTGAATTAAAAACGTGTATCATCTCTGAATTAAAAAATAAATTTTGTTAGTATTTGTGAATTGGAAGTCTTAGCCCTTCAATATTAGACATCCTTTTATTAAGAATATAAGAAATGAAAATGTGCTGTTTCAGCGCTTAGTCAAAAGTCTTTTCTTTTAATACTTATTAGAAATAACTAGTGTTTTTTTACAAGATTTACGTGCTTTATGCATATACTTAATCACCGATCACCACTGTACATGCATGGGAGAAAATGTTCGTCACGTGTTTGATTTTCAGCCGTAGTTTTTTTTATCTAAGCGTACGTGTTCATATCTCGTTTTCGAATTAAAGGATGCTTGAAATAAATAAATTTTATCTCCAATACACCTTACATTGGGGGGGGGGATTCGCGAATGTTCTTAATATACTTTTTTTTTCATCTAAAGATATTTTGGTGCTTTTATTATCGGGACCGGATTCAGGGAAAATGTATGCATGCATATTTGTACGTCTGTCCCTAAAAAAACAGAATCGCTGTTTTAGTCATTAAAGCTTTTAAAGTATGATGTAGCTAATTAATGTTGAAATCTTGTATATTATTTCTGAATGTATAAATTTTTTATAAATTCAAAAATATAAAATTTAAAATTTGTGTTAATATTTTTGAAAAATCGATTTGTAATAGAAAATGCTTGTAATTTTTTTTTAGAATGTGGGATGATGATGATACTGTAGTTACAACTCAACAGGTAAGTTTGTTTGATAATTTTGTCAGTATTTCCACTCAAAATTTTATTATGTCAACTTTTGACATTAAAATTATTCTGTCTGAAAAAATTTCTTTTGTATAATTTTTTAACTAAAAAATACAGCATGCAAGTTGATAATTTCATCATCAAAATTAGTTTATTGCATTTATTGTAATGAAGAATTTAAGATTAGAAATACATGTAACTGACTTTATCATTTTCAGATTTTATCATAATAAATTTATCACTGGTAGGCAGATATTCTCTTTTTGAGTATTGTCATTTTCCTGTTTAGTTATCATGTGATTGTGATATCTATGAAATAGGTACCGTTACTATATTTGTTTTAAGGATCTTGTTTTGTACACTATGTATCGTACAAGAAATATAAAACCAAGGGTAAGAGAGTTAGTATCTTAATGTTATAAAGTAAAGTAAATAAAGATGTCAAGACTGTAATAATCTTGCACATGAATTATTTTTGTCTTGTAGAGGTTTTCTGAATTTCATGAGCAAGTTATTAAAAATATATTTTAACCTTATTTATTTAAGTTTATATTAGATTCGTGCACTTGATAACATCATTGATTTATGTTAAGCTTTCTTACGATTCTGTTCATATATTGAACTTATTTTATATGTCATTTGAATTCAAATTAATTTGAAGTAAATGATGTATTATGAAAATAGTTTATTCATGAATGTGAGTTTATGTTGAATGTGAGTTTATGTTCATTTTAATCCATGCTTTTTGTAGTAGGAATAATGCCAGGTGTTTCATTACTGTAATTGTCAAACTCTGTTATGAATTACATAGCTGCCAACTCTGCTGGTTTTTCAACACAACTTTCCGTTTTCTATGTTTAGCCTTTACCAGGGAAAATGTTTCTCAGCCATAAATAAAATTTCTTGAATTATAAGACTTAATTGTGCAGATACTCTCAACTTTAGTAATTTTCAGCTGAAAAATTTATGTGAATTTTCTTACTATTCTATATTATAAAGATTCAGTTATTGTTAATTAGCTATTAATTTTGATTTCGTATTAAAAAGCATTTTAATAAGAAAAGTTTTCTTTTTCTACTCGGAGGTTTTTTATAAAATCGTAAAAAAATTAAATCGTAAGTAGCCAAAAAACATAACATTTAAATATCAATCTATTTTATATCAAATCATATTACTAATAGTGTAATAACCTGAATGAGGAGTGCATTTGATGCTGTTTTTAAATGGCATTGTGGAAAACATCACAGTTTTTCATATTTCAAGATTTGCAGCTTTAGAATTAACGAAATTGTCCATCTCTAAATAGAGAGAAAAACTGTAAATATTGATAATGTCATATCATGCATCATATAAATATCAATATAGATCATAACCATATGTAAATATCTCTAGAATTTTTGATAGAAATCTGTTGTGTGATGTCTTATTAAAGTGAAAATTCCTTTGATATGAAAGTAAGTTAACATTTACTTTATCAATGTTATATGGAAAATTTTTAGTTTTTTATTATGATTTTGTTTTCTCAATATTTTATTGTTTTATGGAGCTGTTGAAATCATTAGTACTTCCGTATTAAAGTGGACATGACCAGTTTGTCACCAGATCTGAAAAGCTTCTCTGTCCTGTTTGAAATGTGCAGATTTCAAATGTCAAAGATTTATGCAAGATTAATTTTAAATGAGGAAATATTAAACCATTTTGCAGTTTAATAATTGTGGGTGTTAAAACTTGGAGTCGACTTTCACAGAGAACCAACCTATTTGTGACAATTCTTTTTTCTAAATTTTCGCCAAAGAATTTGGGAATGTTATAATCAGTTCCATTAATTTCTAATGCTAAAGGAATTTTTTAAGTTTGCAAAGTGAAAAATCAATCTAAGATTGGAGTGTTGGCCAAAGCAAGATGGTAAGCAAGAAAGAATGTAATCATGTAGTTAGATACTTTTATATTAAAGTCTTCAAGCTTCTTTGTTTTGGTATATTTCCATTTTGCGCCAGGAGTTACTAATTTGATTAAGCTTCATTTTAGCAATAATTATTTGAACTATCACTCAGTTTTTCGTGTAATCTGTTTTCTCTTGTTATGATTTTAGGTTGGAATTTATGTAGAGATGAAGAAGCAGCTATTATGTTTCTTCAAATGAAGATTGTGTTCAAATAGCCACCCTCATAAATTGTTATTCAGAGCTGAAATGGCTGTGTAGCCTTCCCATATGTTGGGAAAGAAGTTGCCCAGGACAGTTTTTTTGAATAATTAAGCAATAAGTGAATAATTTAATAAATTTCAAATAATTCATAAAGCTAGTATGGATAATATGATTTTTTTGGATCATCCTTTACATGTTATTGCCATATAACTAGTTTACTTATGGTATGGTATCAGTTGATGCCTGTTGAGTTTTGTAAACCATAGCTTGCTTTGAATGAATCATAGCACAATAATTGATAATACTGATTAGATAAAAATGTATCTGCTACTTCTGTCGTGAACATCATTGTGAGTTTAAGAGAAAATAATGAGGGATTTGTTAAAATTTATATCAGATGAAAGATCTTTTAATATATAGCATTTTAATACTATTTAGCACAGTCTAATAGGTTCATTTTACAATACACAACATCCACAAAATGATTGTTACAACACAGTTCGATCATCCATCTTTTTGAATAACAATCTCTCTTATTGCCATGAGAAACCTACCTCTCATGGAGTTTGATTGTGGCGCGACAACTTCTATGTTATCTTATATTAACATCAATATCAATAATCACAATTAAATTGTAAAAATTAAGCAAAACATACTCTTATAAAGGGAAAAAAAATTGATGTAGGCTGTATTCTTCACTCAGTGGTTTTTTGAATGGTTTTTTAATGAAGCTGGAAATTTATTTTTTGTTTCTATTTCTAATTATTTTGCTCAATATAAGACTGAATAAACCAAAAATGTGCCGAAAGCAATGAGTCAAAATTTACCTGTATGGCCTGTAAAGGCATGGTATGGCTTTAATGGAAAAATGTACACTTAAAAAAATTAATAATTGATAAAAGCATTAACTGAAATAGTTTGCTTAGCAGTTATATTTTAGAAAGACTTTTAAACTTTAGTATATTCACTAAGAAATAGTTTATGCTTCATTTTAAAAAGATGTAAAGATAAGGGAGAGGCGGTAATTAAAATCTTTTTTAGTCGTAATGACAGCTTGCTTTTCCTTCCGTCAGTTCACTTTTCTCTCTTTCCGTATAGTGCATCATAGACACGCAGTACTTTTATTCATCTCTCTACTTAAAGCACTGCATAATACTGAGTACTGAGATTCTTGTTATTTTACATAGTACTTACTCAAGATCTTGTTTCTGTTTTGTGGTTATATTTAATCAAGAATTATAGTTTCCAACTACGTTCTGATTGTCAATTTTGAAGAAATTTAAAAAAAAAAAAATTTAATTCTTTGATTTAAAGCTTATATTTTTAGCTTCCAAAAACTTTTTGTTTTGTCTCTCCGGTGATTAAAAGTAAAGCTATGGCTGTTTTTGTTCTACACCATGAACCGGAAATTGCTGTTTAAAATGCCGAAAGTTGCTGTTTAAATGGCCGGAAGTTGATGTTTAAGGGACACAAACTGCTCTAAACAAGAATATTTCATTTGAATACTGTTGGCGATATTCAAAAAATGATTTTGAAATATATGTATTATTATTATATGCTTTTGAAAGCAAGATTATTTTCAAAATTTCAGTATCATATTTGGCAACATTTCCGTTTGTCTTTACATTCAGATTTGGTTACACTCTGATTTAGTGTGCTTGCTGTTATTCAGTATTATTTTTATCTCATTCTGCTTTATTATTTTAACATTGTGATAAAAATATTTTCACTTTATTATTGTTAACGCTGTAATGGGTCGGCGTGGAACTTTTCGTTCTAAAAAAACGGTATTTTTGCTGGAAACAGATATACAGTCAAAAGTCGTTAATCCACACTCGTCGGGACTTCGGCGATTCCGGATTGGCGATTTTTCCGGATTATAGATCATCAATTTAGATCTGGTAAGATGGCATGCAGAAATTATAAAATTAAAAATATGAAACCGTAATTCATGAAATAAAGAGCCATTATGATCTAAAGGGTATCAAAATTTACAAAAAAAAAGCTTAATATTTATTTGTTTACTGTTTAAACATTTATTTGTTTACTGCTAAACGCGTGCATGCGTAAAGCATACATTACACATAGTCGAAATTAGAAATTGCAACTAGAAAACTATTTGATGTGTATTCGTGATATTTATAATGACGACGAATTTGATTTAAATCATCAAAGAAGGAGTACATCGAGATGAAATGCTACATTTAGCAAGGAATTATAAGCTGAATAAAATAAAAGCATCTGGATGGTGCTGACAGATCAACTTCCAATTCATTGCACGCCGTGTCGTCCCCCCCTCAGAGCAGCGTGGAATTGATAAACATATTTCGGAATGATTAGAGAATCAAAGGATTATTCCTTTATCCATTTTTTGCAGCAATTCCACTTTTTGTTTAATGGACCGAGACATACTTTCGCTTTGTAGATCCTTTACATATTAGTAAATATATATCGGAAATTCTATTTGACATAATCGAAAGTTCAAGCATACTTTTATAAAATTGCTCTAAGAGTCTGCAAAAAATAATAAGCCGGATTCAATTCAAAGATTAAGGAACAATGCAATCTGCAACATTAACTGAATTAGATAATTTTAGCTTAGCTTATACTGTCCGTTATACCTTAAACGCGCATGCGTAAATGTATTATGTGCATACGCACACATATATTCACAGCCTTAAAGGTCTTGCGTGCATGCGTCAGCGTGACGCATGTGCAGAAAGTTTGTAGCTTTGAGGTCTCGATTATAGATCATTTCGGATTATGGGTGTCCGAATTAACGACTTTTGACTGTACTTTGAAAGCTTCTACCAGTAAATCGAAACTAGAAACAATATAACATTTTCTGAAAATTATAATGAAACTAATAATGAAGCTGGTAATAGAATATTCGATGTTGAAATTATAAAACTTATTTTTTGCATTTTCCTGTCCAGTGTGTTTCGAAACTCAAAACAATAATGAGAGTTTTAATAACGTATCGTACCAAAACAAGTGTTTGTTGAGTTGACAACATTGTGTCTTGGTTCCTGTATAGGAGTAATACAGTTTAATAATGGATTTTTGGGTATGTTAAAAATATTGGGAAACTTAATATGAAACATGGACAATATACTGTCAAGGGATATATAACTGTATTGATAAAACTTGGATTGTCGAGTTCAAAACGACATTACATTCGCAAAAATCGCAAGAAAAAAATTAAAAGCTTCTTTAAAGAAAAATATTTTCTAAAATAGAGTTAACAGAAGGTGCAATATACAAAACAGCACTTTTAGCCATGTAATATATGAATTTCTAATATATTTTCTAAAGATAAAACTTTAAATTTGTTTTTTGAAAAACTTGTTTTGTCATCATTTCTAATACGAAAAACACCGTAACTTAAAATATTACTATAGCAACTCGTCGGGACTTCGGCGATTCCGGATTATAGATCATCAGTTTAAATCTGGTAAGATGGCATGCAGAAATTATAAAATTAAAAATATGAAACTGTAATTTTTGAAATATAGAGCAATTATGATCTAAAGGGTCAAAACTATTTGATGTGTATTCGTGATATTTATAATGACGACAAATTTGATTTAAAACATATCAAAGAAGGAGTACACCGATATGAAATACTACATTTAGTAAGGAATTATAAGCCGAATAAAATAAAAGCATGTGCCCTGAAGATAAGGATAGTGCTGACAGAACAACTTCCAGTTCTTTGTGTGCCACGTCGCCCCCCTCCCCCTGTCAGAGCAGCGTGGAATTGATAAACATATTTCGGAATAATTAGAGAATCAAAAGATATGCTTTTATCCATTTTTTGCAGCAATTTCACTTTTTGTTTGATGGACTTCGGAACATGCTTTCGCTTTGTAGATCCTTTGGCAGCTCCAGAATTGGAAATTCTTTTTGACATAATCGAAAGTTCAAGCTTACTTTTATAAAATTGCTCTAACATTCTGCAAAAAATGATAAGCCGGATCCAATTAGAAGATTAAGGAACAACGCAATCTGCAACATTAACTGAAATAGATAATTAGATAATTTTAGCTTAGCTTATACCATCCTTTAGACATTAAATGCGCGTGCGTAAACGTATTAAGCTTCGTTCAGATGGGGCCGTAAAGGGCATAAATGGTTAAAGCCGAGCTCCATTGCCAAGGCAACCAATCTGTGCTACGTCAGAAAATAAGGTCTAGGGCTCGTGGCATAGGGTTCAAAGTTTTCAGCGAGTTTGGGATAAGCGTCGACCAATCAGAGCGAAGCTGGTTTCTACAGAAGATTTCGCTGTCACAAAAGAAGCAGAGCAAACGCGGGAAACTTGTAGACACATCCACGCATGCACAAATTTAGCTTCTCTCATTGGCCACGGCTTCTTGCAAGTGTGAACGGAATTCCCGTATTTTATGCCCTTTACACCGCCATCTGAACACAGCCTTTTGCGTGTGCTTAGACGCATATGCACCTGCGTTAACGCATTGTACATTGATGCATGCGCAGAAAGTTTGTCGCTTTGAGGTCTGGATTAAAGACTTTTGACTGTACTTATTTAAGATTTTTGCAGACAATTTTGTAAATGAAGAGAGAAAAATTTCTCGAAAAATAACTAGTGTATGTACTCAAACAGGTACATTTAATAGACATTTTGCTTTGTGACTTAGATTTTAGGCCATTTTATTTATTATGCTTTTATAAATATAAGTGAAAAAAATAAAAGTAAAATATTGATAAATAATTTTTAGGAAACTAATCTTGTGCTACTGAAATTTGAATACATTTTTAATCCAAAATGTGAGAAAAAAGTAAAAATTACATTTTAATAATATGTTTATAAACTGTTTCTATCATTTTAGGTAGCATTCTGCTAATTAAAACCAAAAATGAATTTATTTGTACCCTTTTTCAAAATTAGGTATCGAACATAGTCAGATCTCTTTGTATCTTTTATCTTTTGCAAGTTTGTACATATAATGGTTATATGTACAAACATATAATGGTTATATTTAATCAAGAATTATAGTTTTTTTCAATTCTCTTTGCATCTTTATCTTTTACAAGTTTGTACATATAATGTATATGCATTTTCTAATATCTCTTGTATTATATTTTCATTTTTGCAATTTTTATATTGCAACTTCTGCATTTTAAAGATTTTACTGCTCACCTGCTTCATTTGCACTGCATGTATCTACTTCACATTTTTATAGATATGCTGCTCTCACGTTGCTCTTTCACACAGTCTATCACAATCCGTTTCATATCTCTCATTTATTGTTAGTGTGCATAATTCATATCCTTTTCTTCATTTTGTACTTGTCCTGATCCAGCAGTCATGTGCCACTTCCGGGGCCAACATAAGGAATCTACTGATGTATCAACAAGAGGATTTCATAATATTGAAAATATTCAAGAGCTTGCTGTTCTGTAGACGTGGTTCCCAAATTTCAAAGGCTTTTTTCACACTTCATGAAAAAATACAAGAATAACAATTTATATCCTTATTCATAAAATCAAAAACGTGGCTTATCGAGAATCCATCAAGGTGACATCAAACGAAAGTGCAGATTTATATTTATTGTTGCATCACACAACTGGCACTAAATCATAGTGCTTGACATTTTAACAGTTGATGGGATAAGACATAAATACCAATAAAAGTAAGAAAATAAAAGCACTTTAAATAGCTAACTTTAAAATAAGCTGAATTATTAATTATAATGAGGGATTGCATAATAAATAGAAAAAGTCTGATGTGTAAACTACCTGAATTCTTTGAACGTAATATTAAATTATCTGCATTTTTTCCTGCATTTCATTTAAACTTATTTCCTCGAATTTCATTTAAAATATATTTCTCATTTAGTTCTCACTTCGCCGCAGTACTAATTCAGTTCTCACTTGGCACTAATTCAATTTTCACTTCGTGGCAAGGCAGTGCATAAAAACGCAAAATATTTTCATTAAAAATTGAAAGATATAGAAAAACTTAAAATACCAAATACAGTTAAAGGCATTGAGAAACAATTTTTACAATTAAAATTACAGATTCTACACAAAAACAAGCAATTCTGTCTGTAGGCAGATTTTTGGGTGCACAAAACATAAAAAGTTTCCTGTTGATCCCACTCGGCAAAAGACACTGAAGGTGCAGAAAGATTTAATTCACTATTCTACTAAGTTTTGAATGTAAACAAATACGGCTGCTATGGTAAGAAAAAATTAAGCTTAGCTGCACTTAAATCACTTCTAAATTGTTGCTAATTCTACAACTATTGCATGTAGATTAACTAAAGACATAAAAACCTTATTTGGAATATAAAAAGAACATAATTCAATCATTTTTAAAGCAAAAAATGCTCAATTTACCAACATATGAATAAAAAAATCTGAGGTTACTGAGCCAAGTAACAGAGTGGGTATATATACTTTTGGTTTGGCCGATTGCACATCTGCATGTTATAATACAAAATTTCAACGTTTTGAGGCTATTCGTTTTTGAGTTATGCGAGATGCATACCTGTGTACGTACATATACGACAAAATGTCTTCTGAATCAATATTAAATGGGTTTTATAATTCATTTTGGGAAAAAGAATCTTTTATTCTGTCCTTATGTACAGATGTCATGCAAAAACATCATTAAATTGCGTTTGATAGCAATCAAAATGGATATATTTGTTATATGGTACCTTGAAATTTTCGCCTTTACAATACTCCCTTTACTTCGTACAAGGAAGTAAAAACTAAGGAAAAAAGTAAGACTTAAGTTAAATAATAATGGAACTACAATGGGAAGGAAGACTAGAGTTTGGCTAAGTGCCTTGAATAAAGTTGATGTAACTAATTCAAAAGATTTATTAAATATGTAAGAGGAACATGGAATTAATTAAAATGCTTGAGAGAGTGATATGAAATAATAATGGCAAAAGCTGAGAAAATGAGGAATAATAAAAAATTGTATGACATTAGGAAACATGTAAGACATTGACAAATGAAGCTGCATTAGGAAACCTAAAAGAAATCCTTATTCAACAACAAGAACAACAACAACAAAAAAAAAAAAAAAAAAAAAAAAAAAAAAAAAAAATCCTTTTTCCTTTAGGGAAAATGTGTCTATGGTAAACCGAAAACTGTGTTCGAAAATGATGTATTAAAACAAGATAGAAGAAGATAAAAAATGGTATAGTACATAGCTACCACGGTCTTGCAATCTAAGTTGGGTTCCCATATAATTATTTGACATTTAGAGATGCAGGACACAGTTATAATAAAAAGATGTATGTTTGAGAAAGACAACAATTTATGTATGAATGCTTTTAAATGAGCATTTTACTCTGAAAATATAAAGTTAAAAAAATTTGGAAGTTATTTTTTGTTTAAAAATTTTGGATATTGTGTACTTTTTATTTATGTATGTTTTTGCTGTTTTCAGAGTGACAAAATTTGTTTTGCTTAAGTTAGGTGTTTTACAATATTTATACAGTTTAAAATACTAGTGAAGTATGTTTTTAACTTGATATTTGTCATCTTTTATTTCATATGGAATGCCTGAAATGCTGTAGTAAGGCAAGTCTTTGATGGTGAATGAAACATTTGCAGATTTGCTGAACATTTATATGTTCTTTGAAAATTATGAACTGTTTAGCTTACTTTTTGCTTTTTCCATGAAATTGGAAATTGTTCTGGTTTGTGAAAATGAGCTGATAATGTTTTTAATATAAATCTAAAATAAGAAATTGCTGCATGTTCTACTTTTTTTTTAAAACTTTTCTTTTGTCGTGTTGCCAAGTAAATTATACTTTTTATGTGTAACAACAGAGTAAAAACTGAATAGATATTTGTACTTGTGATTTTATTAATCATTCATTGTATTTACATGAAATTTATATTTTACTTTTGTTTCAGTCTTCAGGAAATTCATTGGCTGCTGGAAATGGATTTTAGTAAGTGTTAGATATTTGTATAGTTATGTGTTTACATTCATTTAATTAAGATATTATTTCTTTGACAGTGATAGTATTCTAGTAACTACGTGCCTCTTAAATTCAATTTTTTGTAACTTTTTCCCCCCTCCTAAATCATTGAATGTCTGATGATATTGTAATGAAAGTTTTTCGCCAAAAAACGTTCTTAATAAAGTTGAGAAAAAAAAATGAAAGCAGTACCTTTAGTGCATGTAGTAATCGCCACTCAAATCTATGATTTTCTGCCAACATTTTGGTAGTTTTTCAAAACTACGGCCTTTGTCCACAAATCCAAAAATGGATCAACCTCATTTCAGACATCCTGTGCAGAATGCAAGATATCACCAACAAGATGTAGCTGCAGATGTGAAAAAAGGTAGAAGTCTAAGTGAGAAATGTCTAGCCTATACACTGACTACCAATAAGTATTTGGACACCTGTGATAGAAAAGAAAAACTAACTTTATTCAAAATCAATAGTTGGTAGAGCCTCCACGAGAGGTAATTACAGCGTGGATCCTCCGGGGCATACTTTCCACGAGTCTTTGTATGACAGCTAGTGGTATTTGCTTCCACTCAGCTTGGAGAAGACAGAGAAGTTCTTTCACCAATTTTGCATGGGTAGTGCACTCCTGAATTCAGCGATGCAACTCGTCCCAGAGGTTCTCGATAGGGTTTAGGTCTGGACTCTGGGCAGGCCAGTCCATTCGATGAACTCCATTGGCACCATACCAAACCTTGGTTAATGTCAAAACATGACAACTGGCATTGTCGTCCTAAAAGTAACAGGGGTCCAACCCGTAAAACTGCCACAACGTAGGAAGCACATTGTCATCTAAAATAGTGCAGTAGGCATCGGAGTTGAGCTTACCATGAATGGGGACCAAGGTTCCCAGCCCATACCAGGAGAAACACACCCCCCAGACTATAATTCCACCTCCGCTAAACTTGACTGTTGGCACAATGCATTCTGGCAGGAGACATTCTCCAGGTAGACGCCAGGCCCAGACCCTGCCATCCGAATGGTAAAGGGTGAACCTTGATTCTTCACTCCAAAGAACCCGTTTCCACTGATCTACGGTCCAATTTCGATGTGCTTTGCACCACATTAACCGAGCAGTGTGGTTGGACTTTGTGATCAAAGGCTTATGGGCAGCAGCACGACCATGAAAACCAATCAGATGTGCTTCCTTATGGATGGTATTCATTGAAACAATACTCCTGGATGCCTGTTGAAACTCCTCGCGGATGAGGGCCATCGGTTAGGTGCGGTTCTTCCGAATTTCTCTAACCAGCACTCGTCGGTCTCTATCTCCTAGTTTCGTTGGTCTGCCGACTCTGGGCACATTTCGACAATCACCGCTCATCTTCCATTTTTTAATCACATAGGCCACTGTCGATTTTGGGTACTTTAGATCGCTAGATATGTCCCTTAAGGATCAGCCACATTTGTGATACCCGATAATTATACCTTTCTCGAAATCAGAGAGCCCCGAACTGCGAGGCATCTTGCATGTCACTAAAGCCGATGTTGTTTCCTGCACGATATATATACCGGCGTAGTCTGTGACATACCTTAGGACCGCAGATATCATCATTTGCATAGGTGTCCAAATACTTATTGGTAGTCAGTGTATGATAGGTGTGGCAAAAGATCTCATTGAGTCCGTACAAACTTGAATACAGACACATATGTCTTAATTTACTGCAGATATTTATAGAATTTTGAGCAATCCTTGATTATTTGTATTTAATTTTGCTTTAAATCAATATATGGGACATTATTAAGTTTATATATGTGGTAATAAATATAATCAGCAATTAATGTATGCAAAATATGTTCATTAATTATTTTATCTTCATATTTTTAAATAATTTCATAAATAAAAGCTTTTTCCTTCCTTACTGAGGATTGTCTCAGTATAACAGTGTAAAAAAATTACAAAATGAAGTTGATCAAAGAGCATAAAATTTAAATTATCTAATTCATATATTTTGTTTTAATAATTATGAATAGTTCAGTAACCTGAATCATTTGTTAGGAAGTGAATTTTAGTCAACTTTGAGTTTCTTAAAAAAGTGCCACTTCATAGCTTTAAAATCTCCAGTTTTTTGCATGATAATCCCCCTTTTTTTTTGTATGTTTTAAGGCTGGCAGTTAGGTTTTAAGAATATGCAGGTTAATGAGCCTTATGCAGTGTGACTGATCAAGGTCTCTGATTTAAACAAATATATTTTCATCACTTATTGTTGGAGGCCCTTAAAAACAAGGATCATCTTCAGTTGGTATTCAACGTTATGAAAAGTTTTACGTAGCGTATTCGGAAACTAAGTACCGTTTCATTCTAGCGCCGTCGCAGTGCTGTGGTAGGCGTCCCGCGCATGCGCACTAGTCTTTCTTCTTCACTGACTTTTAATTGTCGCCATTTTGGTTGCTCTACGTTGTGTTTTCAGTTTGCTGTGCACATTAAAAATGTTTAAGACAATTAGTTCTCCCGCTGACTGTGAGATTCGTGCCGTGATTAAATTTTTGAACGCGAGGAATGTTAAAGCGGCCGAAATTTATCGTCAAGTGACAGAAGTTTACGGTGAATACGCGATAAGTGATGGAATGGTGAGAAAGTGGGAAAGAATGTTTAATGCAGGTCGAACAAATGTCCACGCCGAGGCTTGGAGTGGTCGACCTTCTGTTGTTACCGATGATTTGGTAAGGAAAGTTGATGAAGCAATTCATGAGAACAGACGCTTCACAATGACAACTCTTTCAGAGGCATTTCCACAAATTTCACGTACTGTTTTGTTCGAAATTGTGTCTGACCGCTTGAATTATCGCAAACTGTGTTCCCGATGGGTTCCAAAAATGCTCACTGATGTTCACAAAACAAAGCGACTTGGTAGTGCCCTGACATTTCTCATGCGGTACAGTGATGAAGGAGAAAATTTATAAACCAAATTGTGACAGGTGATGAAACTTGGGTGTGTCATTTCACACCAGAATCGAAACAACAATCGATGGAGTGGAGACACACTCATTCTCCGAAAAAACAAAAGTTCAAAGTGATAATGTCATTACAAAAAGTCATGTGTGCTGTCTTCTGGGATAGGAAAGGCATTTTGCTTACTGAATTTCTTCCCAGAGGTGAAACCATTAATGCGGCACGATATTGTGAGACTTTTAACAAAACTAAGGCGTGCCATTCAAAACAAACGAAGAGGAATGCTCAGTAAAGGAATTGTGTTGCTCCACGACAGTGCTCGGCCCCATACTGCTGGTGTCACTCAATCGTTAATTCGACAGTTTCATTGGGAGCAGTTCGATCACCCGCCATACAGCCCGCACTTGGGGCTGTCCAACTATCACTTGTTCCTGCACATGAAGCGCGAGCTTGGTGGCAAGCGCTTTGGATCTGATGATGACACGAAATATGCTGTGGAGTCGTGGTTCTCGAAACTGGCAGGAAGTTCTTTGACGATGGTATACAAAAACTGGTCACCTGCTATGACAAGTGTTTGATCATTGGTGGAAACTATGTTGAAAAATAGTTTGACATGTATTTTCATGTAAAAATAAAATAGGATTTGAAAAAATTGTTTTACTATTTTTTTTTTCAAAACAGTATTTAGTTTCCGAATACACCTCGTAAGTCATTTGAAAAACCTGTGCTGTTGACAAAGATATTTGATCGGTTTGTTGAATTTTTGTTCTCTAAGTTGCAGTCATGTTCTGTCCCAGTTTGAAACAAAACTTGATGCATTGTAGCTCAAAGTGCAGATCACTCATTTTCACAATGCTTTAAGGAAAAAAAAAAAAAAAAAAAAAAAAAAAAAAAAAAACAGAATGTTGCTATGCATGTAAATCTTGCAAAACTGTTATTTGACTGAAAATATGAAAGGCTGAACTTGGTGCCTTGTGAAGAGTAACTGCTCACCTGCTGTGCTCACCTCAGTCTCATTACTTTATTTTGCAGACCTCTTAAAATTAGGTGTTTGGGGGCACCATTTTAAAAAAATGATTTTATATTAGGTTATTTCTGTATCTTAGGCTGCGTTCAGATGGCGGTGTAAGGCGTAGTCATAAGGGTGTAAAATACGGGAATTCCGTTCACACTTGCGAGAACGGGGTGTAAGCCATGGCCAATGAGAGAAGCTAAATTTGCACATGTGTCGATGTGTACAACTTTCCCGCGCTGTTCTACTGCTCGATTGATTTCCCGCGTTCGCTCTGCTTGTTTTGTGACAGCGAAATCTTCTGTAGAATGACACTTCGTTTTAGCTTCGCTCTGATTGGTCACCACTTATCCCAAACTCGGGGTTGAAAACTTTGAACCCTATGCCACGAGCAGGAAACCAGATTTCGTGACGTAGCACAGACTGGTTGCCTTGGTAACGGAGCTCAGCTTTAATCACTTATGCCCTTTACGTCCCCGTCTGAACAAAGCTTTATAGTTTGGCTGCTTAATGGAACTTTCTCCATAGAAAGTAGGTATCCGTAGCTTCTAGATGATTGTAGTTCAGAATTTTTGTTTTTTTAATTAACTCTCGCTCTCCTTTTTTTTTTTTTTATTCTAAAATGTATTGATGTCCATGTTGTCAAGGTGCACTTTGGTAATACAAATAGTTAAATGTTGATTAGTTGAGGTGTTACATGAAAGTCAGTGTGTAAACATATGTTAAAAAAGTATGCATTATCAGTGCTCTTAATGCATTTAAAGGATGTGTATTATGAGATAATTGAGAAAAAGATAGCTGATAATTACTCTTGAATTCACATTGAATTACATTGGTAGTGTGGGCTGAGAAGAATCAGATTTTATTAATGATTCAGAGGAAAGTCAGTTACTTTCTTACTATTTGTAAAGAAGAATTGGTCTGAAATTGAATTCTGTTATATATCAGTTGGATATATTTTACCTTAAAGTAAAAATTGTTTGTTGTTAATGATACTGAAATTAAGAGTCTTAATATCAGTGGTTGGGTAGAATTAAAGAAATGTATGATGTAATGAGAGTATACATTCCAAAAATGTGATATTTATTATGCTGTTAAATTTATGTTGAAATGAGCAAGAAATGTTATTGTTGTCTGCACTTACCCCATATGTAGTTACCTTTAGAAATTTTCTTTTTATAAATGCATTTACAGTTCTAAGATAACATGTTTTTAAAATTTTTTTTTCAGTGTTGGACGGGGCCGAGGTTTTGGTAACATGGCGGCCATGAATGATTCACTTCCAACAGTTGGTAATAATTTTGGAAACATTCTATTGCCAATGCCAATGATTTGAAAATTACGGAGTTCCTATGGTTCAAAACCATTTACCTCCTCATCAGAATTACTAAAAGCGAGCAGAAATGAGAAAAAATTTTGCATAAGTGAATTACCTGATGCACACTAGAGGGAGCCACTGGCTCAAGAAAGTTTAGGGATAGAGATGAGATAATAAAAACTTAAGAATCATAATATTTTTAAAAAGCTTTTAGGTTTATAATTTTTTTTTGTATTTTAAATTTTATACTTTTTTTTGGTTTTTATAAATTTTTTATACACAATACAACACTAAAGCAGAAAGCGGAGAAGAAAGATTTTAAGATTAATAGGCTCATTGGCATGTGGCTTGTGTAGGATAGTGCAAATAATAAATATGAACGCGTTGAAAATATTCATGGGCAGATTTTAAAAATCTGCGGGAGATGTGATTCTATGCGAACAGATTGATAACTTTACTTGGAGATCTTGGTTGCAGGTAGAGATGGTAATAAGCATTTATATGGCAGCTCGCTGAAGAGACTTCCTTCCTTCATGGCGCGGGAGCTGGAACTGATGTTGAGAGGGCGTGTCTTGCCCTTTTAGATGGAGGGTAGATGCCGAACTCTCGGCCAATCACGGCTCTTGGTCTCTTCTGTGAGCTGCGAATAGTAGGATCGTAGGCTGGCATCTGCTGAAGTGCTCGGTTATCAATCTGTTCAATTTTGAGGAATAAATTTTGACTATGTTTTTTGATAAGGTAATCAACTGGTTTAATATTAAGGTCCGAATGAATCACATCTGTACGGACGTACCAAGCTGCGTTTAGGGCCATACGTAAGGTTTTACTTTGAAAAGATTGAAGTTTTTTCACATGAGTTTTTGCAGCAGTACCCCAGATTGTACATGCATACATAAAGACAGGTCTTATTATGGAAGTATAGAGAAGGATTTTGTTTTTAATTGACAGATTGCTCTTTCGAGCTAAAAATGGGTAAAGTTGGGCTCTGGCACCTTTTGCTTTGTTGAGAGAACATTTTCAATGTGAAGGCGCCAGGTTAATTTTGAATCAAGTACAACTCCTAGGTACTTGTAAGAGTTTGACCAGGGAACATAGTCGTCAAAGAATTTAATATTAATGGAAGGGTACTGGAAGGGAGGGGGGCTACGTTTGAATATCATAGCAGCACATTTAGCAACATTAATTTTTATTTTCCAAGTGATGAGCCAGTGCTCAAGGCTAGAGAGATAACTCTGAATGTTTCGGACTAAGTTTTCCAGGCGTTTGTGTTGAGCTAGGATGGCCGTATCATCTGCATAAAGTGCAAGAGTGATACTTGGTGATTTTGGTATGTCATTTATGAAAATGTTGAACAAAATTGGGCCTAAAAGTGACCCTTGGGGGACGCCGCTTAGTATAGGACGGGGGTGTTGAAATGATAGAATTAACTCGTACAGAAAAAGATCTATTAGTGAGGTACGAATTAATTATATGAATTAAATGGGCCGAAACGTCAAGTCGTATGAGCTTGATAATAATTCCTATATGCCAAGTCCTATCAAATGCTTTGGCTATGTCAAGAAATAAAGCGCCAGTAAGCATTTTGTTACGAAACCCTTCGTGAATGAACTCCACTGTCCTCAGCAGCTGGCTGGTGCGTGGTGCAGTGTTTTGCTCGAAATCCAAATTGTTCATCAATCAGAACGTTGTGATTTCGGAGAAAATCATTCAGGCGTTTAAGTAACACAAACTCGTATATCTTAGATAACGAGGATAGGAGGCTGATAGGTCTATAATTTTGAGGGTTAGAAAGGCTTTGGCCTGGTTTTGGAATAGGCACAATAAGTGCTTGTTTCCAGCTTTGAGGAAAATAGCAATGCTGTATCATAAAATTTATAAGCATTACTAAGAAAAATAGATAATGGGTGGGTAAATTTTTAATCATACGATTAGAAATAGAGTCCATACCAGGGGCTTTTTTTGGGTTTGAGCTTGGTAATGTATTCACTTACCTCGCTCATGGATGTATATTGTATTTCTCTCGCAAAAGGCGAGGAGAGGAAACGTTCAACATCCTGTGGGAAAGAACTTGCGCTGTTCGCAAAAATTCCTTCATTATGTGGTGTAAATTGAGTTTGAAGAGAATCCGCAATTAATTCGGATTTCTCAGCGTCTGTGTGAGCCACCACTGCGTCCGTAGCTAAGGACGGAATGTTAGATTTGTGTGTGCGTAGGCGGGCTGATGCGCGCCAAAGACTGTTATCATTGGTCGTTAGGGACTGAATGTAATTCGTGTATTGTGATTGGAAGAAATGGTCACATGATGCCTTGATCTCATTTTGGAGAGCACGGAGTTGAATTTTTAAACCAGGATTTCTATTTCTTTGCCAAAGTCTCCGTACTTTATTCTTTTCTTTAATTTTGAGTTTAATTTCTTGAGGTAATTTACGAAAATTGGGTCTGAGGGTGGGTTTTGATACTTCCTTATAAGTATCTGTTAAAATGGTCGTTAAGTGATCAACTGCCGAGTCTATATCATGGCTGGATTTAATTTCAAGGGAGGGCAAACTTTTACTTTTAAGTTTGAAACTAAAATTGTCCCAGTTTGTAGAGACGAGTGCCGGAGAATTTTGATTAAAGATAGTACAATTAAGGTCTATGATTACGGGGTTGTGATCTGAGGATAAACAGTTTTCCACAGTCACGTGATATCCAAAAGGAGATGTTTCGAAAGAGTGCCAAATCGATGAATGAAGGGGCACCCCGTGAACCATATCTAGTAGGGGAATCCGGCGCAATAACTTTTAATTTGGGCGCACTGAGCCCATTTTAGAAGGCCACGACCAGCAGGGTTTGATCTATGGCAACGCCAATGCTGGTGGTGACAATTTAAATCACCAGCTATGATTAGATTGTTGGAAAAGGTGAGCAATTTGTTAAAATCAACCACAGGTAAATTTCCACCTGGTGGAAGATAGGCAGAGATCATTACAAGGGAGGGCGAATTTTGAATGAAAATTTCGATGATTGTTGCCTCGAGTTTACTCATACTCGGAGTGTCAATTCTTTTGTGTGGTATTGAATTTTTAATATAGACACATGTGCCACCATGATAAACATCACGAGTATTAGAAGCTTGTCTGTCATTTTTATATAATGCATAATTTGCAAGCTTGGGAGCTCTCCCTGGCTGGAGTTTGGTCTCTTGGACAAAAATAATGTCAAAATCTTTCTCTTCCACATAGTCTCGAAACTCATGGAATTTGGATAGAATGCCATTTGCATTCCAGGTGCATAGTTTTAAGTTTTTCAATCCTTTCAAAGTATTGAATTTTACTGACTGGGGATATCAGAGAATTGGAGAGTAATATAACTCTCAAAGATATAGTAAGCCGCGTCAGCACCAGATGGAGCCACTCTGAGCTGCGGTAAGGCGTTTTTGAATGCCAAAAGAAGTCTGCTCTGGTCAATACCAGGTTGGTTTGAGATTTGAATAATTGCCAATAGGATTTCGGTGCAATTTAGCGTCGAATTAGCTCCTAAGGGGACCGATAAATTTGGAAGAATTTGGGGTGCAGCTTGTTGCATACCCGTAAGGGCAGCAGAGTATGATACTCCAGGGCGAGTATTATTTGCACTGGGAGTGTGTGCAGCCGGCAGAACTGGAAATGTATTATGTTGTAGGTTAAATTTGTTTGTGTTGTCAACGGTCTGACTGGGTTTGGTGCTTGGCCTTGGAGGTTGTCTGTTTTTGGAGCCTGGGAACTTCGGGCAGGAACGCCAGTTAGCAGCATGGTTTCCCGAACAATTTGCACATTTGTTCGGTTCTTCAAATGGTTTAGTACATTCTTTGGCTTGATGCGGCCCAGCGCATCTGACGCATCGTCTTGGTAATGTGCAGACTTCAGATGAATGAAAGAATCCCTGACAACGCCAGCATTGGGAGGGACCTTTCTGACCTTTGAAGTGTTCCATGGATACCTCAGTTCCAAGGAGCTCTGTTATGGAATAGATTTCTTCAGCTTTGAGGCTGTTGAAGATTTGTAGATAAAAGAGAGGCATTGGCATTTTTGTCTTCCATTTCTTAAGTTGAGAGATCTTGTGGATTTTGAAGCCAAGCACTTCAACCGCAGTCTGCACAACGTTGAGCGGTGTATTTGAGGGTAATCCCCTAATTACCACTTTAAGTGGTCTATCTGATTTGAGTGTGTGAGATTTGAATTCAATATTATTGTCTGTGAGGAATCTAACAACTGTTCTATAGTCTGTTTCGTTAGTAGTTGTGAGTTTTAGAAAATCAACGTTTTGTTTGGAAAGAACAGTTGGTGCGTGTCGGCGAAGCTGATTGAGGAGAAAGAACCAATCAGCTCGCGGTTTTATGAAAATTGGAGGTGGTGCTTGAATTTTTGGTGTTTGAGTGACAGCCGGCTGCTGCGTCGAGTGTTCAGTGTTATCAGAGTTTATGTTTGTGAAAGAATTGGATGTTGTGATGGTTTCATTACTATTAGTGTTGGGAAGTGTTTTTTTGGCAATTAAATGTTTTGGAGGAACTACAAATCCTTCGTTATCAGTTGGTCTGGTTCGTTTTTTTGAGTCAGTTTTAGGATTTTCTTTTGGAGGATTTTGATTGGCTGGGGATGAGGGTGGATTTGTATTTTGAGTTTTAGGGTTAGAATTTTGAGTGTTGGAGTCCGAATCAGGGGTTTTAGAGGTCTTTTTACATTCTTTGAAGAATTCCTCTTCAGTGGCAGGGAGGGTGAATAAATTTATGCCGAGTTTAGAACATAGGGTATGTAGGGAAAATAAAACTTTCTCACCCTCATCCTGTAACTGTTTGATCATCTGGTCCTTATTCGGAGTGTCCGTTCGCTGTAATCGCTGGATGTCGAAAATGAGGTCTGTGTGCCGATTCTTTAGAGAGTAAATCTGGATCGCGCTCTTGGATAGCTCTAGCGCTGAAGGAGAGGCAGGTGGAGTAGTTGCAGATATTTCCAT